AAAAAAAAAGTTGGAAAAAAGCACAAGCAAAAACTTGGATTGAACAATTTCAAGAAATACATTATTACCCTCTGTGAAAGTCAAATCATAAGCAAGTATAAAAAATATGAGACACTAGAAACAACTTTTTTTTTTTTTTTTTTATCAATCACAGGCTCATCATAGTCAATTTTTTTCCTATTTTTCTTTTTCTTCAAGTGATTCCCATGTAATGAAAGATGAACCTGGGAACCTCCATGCCCATCATACACCCCGAAAAAATGGCCCGTCAAATGACTCAAGCACGAACTTGAACTCAACCCATCAACGGCTCGATCACCAGCCAGCATCCATATAGGGATCTTCAGCAGCCCAGGCACAGCCGCCACTGCATCCTCCATCTCCGGCCGCCTTCCGCACACCGAAGTGAAACCCCACAGGGGCACACAGTCCATCTCAAATATGCTCCGGCTAGCCCTTCTTTCCGACTGAACGGACGATTTTGCCCCTGCCTTCTCCTCCTCCTCCTCTGCCACTGCCACCGGCAAAGGGCCACCGATCACCACACCATTAGTACAATCCCTAGGAATGAGCTCAACGTCCAATGTGGCCTCATTTTCCAAACCCATCTCGAAGCCCAACAACAAGTCGTCCCCGCAAATGCTGCTTGTGTCACTCACCACAGACAATGAACACGAACATTCGAGAAGCGGGTCCGTCTCTAGAGACGACGACCCGTCCTCACTCTCGCGCAAAACCACGGCGAAATCGACGTTTTCACCTCCCAAATTGGCAAAACCACAATCCTCATTATCCTCAGCCATCATCTCGACTTTCATTACACCCATGTCTGTGTGTATACACATATATATATATATAAATATGAGTATCTCTAAAGCTTAGGTTTTTTCAAGAAACCCAAACTTTACCTAACACAGAAGGCACTCGAAACAGAGGCTCATAAGTCATAACTCACACTCATCATTAATTGGAGACCCTTTTAGCTAAGATTTAAAGAGAACATAAAATCTAGGACGCGTGAATAGAAGCTTGCAGAGACTTCATAAAATTGACCCTCAAAAAAAAAAGGGGGCTTTGAAAATGGAAATGGCTTGATTAGATCTGGTGACCTAAAAAAAAATTGAACACCAACTAACATCCATGAAAAAGGGGTCACTATTGGTATAAAAAGGTGAGAACTTTGTCTGAACCTTTGTCTTTCTCGAAAAAAAAAAAGAAAAAAAAAAGAAAAAATTATGTAACAGTACGCAAATTCTTCTCAGTTTCTGAAAAAAAATTGACTGAAAGATTGAACAGAAAGGAGATAAACACTAGTCAAGAAAAGTAGAGCAAAAGATTTTCTTGATGTCACAAGAAAATCTTGAAAATGTAAAAAAGGCAACTTTTTTTTTTTTTTTTTTTTTTTGAGGCAACTTTGTTCAAACCTGTGAGCCACTTTTTTTAGTGTGAGAAACATCTCATTCAACATTAATCACTCATTCACTCCAGTATCACAACTATTGATGGTGAATCATAGTGCTGTGTGTCCTGTTTGTTTTTGTTTTGGTTTTGTTCGTTTAGTGGACATGGCAAGGGTCGAACCCGGCCCAGAATTACCGGGTTTGGAACCGAACCTGTACCCTTTACGGGCTGGTTCGGGTTTCTTGTTTTTTATTTTTAGACCTGCTGGCCGGACCGGTCACGGGTAGAGAGACGGGTCCGGTTTCTTTCTTTTTCTAATTTTTTTTATTTTTTATTTTTCTTCTTTTGTTGGACTGTTCTCGGCCGGGCCGGGTCGACCGTTGGGGGCCCAAAGTACGTTGAATTTCAATTTATTATTTTTTTTGCGGGCCGACTTGATCGTTAAATATTGGATATATTTAACGGTTAATTTATTTTATTATTATTTTTCCTTTTGCGAGCTTGGTGGCGGGTCGAACCCTACCAGCCTGTACCTAGAACAGTCACTTTTTATTCATGCGGGTTGTATCAGTTGGACCGTTGGGATCCAACGGCCTTCACCCGTCCGACCCGCCGGGTGACCCGAAACCTGGCGAGTTTATGACAGAAAATGAAAATAAATTTTTTTTAATTAATTATTATTATAAATTATAATGATAATTCAACTCGTGTCGAACTTTTATATGAACTAGTATTCAACCTTGTGCTTTTGCACATATGTAAATAAAGTATTGTGAGTTATTGGTATGCATATAATGATTAAATATTTTTCTTTCATTTTTTTGCATGCCAAATTTACAAATAAAGAAGTTCGAATATTTACTTTTTTTTAATTGTGTTTATCTTATTGGATGTAATGTATATTTTGGTACGTCTTTTTTTTAATTATTTATCATTTATTTAGGAATTTCAAATACGTTTTTAATTTAAAAAAAAATAATTTAACTGTAACCACAATAATAACATCTAATCACATTGTACGATCAACACATTATATGGTCAGTTGTCACTAATAAAAAGCTTAAAATGATTTTTGTAATTTTAAAGTGATTAGTATTGATTATTTAATAATTAAATGAAAGATTAAATACATAAAAAAGTAACAGTTTTTAGAGGGACAAATATTAAATTGCCACATAGGTAAAATTAATTAGGTTTTATTAAATGTTATTGACTAGTAATTATATATATAGATGATTAGATTAGAAGAAAATTTAAAATATTTATATTTAACAATATATAAATTATAAAAAAAATATTAAAATAATTATTCAAAAACTAATAATTTTTGTATAAATACACAATAATATCCAGTACATTCTTTTTCAATTAAGTGTGGCTTTATAATGTTTGCCACAAATTTTATATTGAACTATTATATATCATATAAAAAATTACTTTCATATTGATCAATATTCCTTCATAGTTTAAATTTATAATAAATCGCACAAGGTACGTATTAGTTGATATATCAAAAGAGATGTACTTTAAAAAAAAAATGACTTATTATTGAATATGTAATTTTGTAATAAAAGTACAAATATTTAAGGGTTATTTGGTAACACTGGCATCTAATTCATACTTAAAATATAAATCAATTTAACTCATTCTTGTTATCTTTAATATTATTCATGGAATAAAATAAGACAAACTATTCATTCTTACATATCACATCAACATTATTTCACTATTCATCCACTCACATAATTTTACCCAACCATCACTCCACATCATTTTTTTCCTACCTTTACATGAAATCAAATTTAATTAATTTATTTTAAATATTATGTTAATACAACTCAAATCTCATTAACAATTACCTATACTACTTTTTTCAAAAATAATTCTATTTAAAAAAAAAAACTAATTTGGTTCGATTCGGTGAGCATGTCACGGTTCGGTACAAAACCGCACTGAACCGCAAAAAAACCAAAAACGTTCATTTATGCGAACCGCACCGCACCGAAATTAAAGGAAAAACCGAACCAAAATCGCGCCGAAATTTTCAGTTCGATGCGGTGCAATTTAGATTAACAACAAATTAATAAATAAAATAAAATAAAATAAAATAAAATAAAGCACATGATAATGTGCAATAATACCAAACCAAAAGCTCAAAATTTATATTGAAAAAAGTAGTATAGCTAACATAACACGTTTTCAGTATTAATTGTACATAACTGCATCAACATAACCGAAAGCCTGGTGAATCTTCCAGATCCTTCGCCATCGTCGTCACCACCCCGCTAAAATTCCCATTCGACGAGAGCTCGTAGATCCCACCATCTCCACATAGCTCCTTTTAGGGAGTAAGCACAGGACAAAAACAAAAAAATAAAAGTAAAAGGTAAACGATGTCGTATTTGCTGCCGCACCTTCACTCAGGCTGGGCCGTCGATCAGGCGATCCTCGCCGAAGAGGAGCGCCTCGTCATCATCCGCTTCGGCCACGACTGGGACGAGACCTGCATGCAGGTCAGTAATCAACATTCTCCTCTATTTATTCTTTCATTGATTGGGATTTTAAGATTATAGTTGGCTTATGCTCTTTTTCCCCCAATTGTTGAAGTGTGCAATTACGTTAATTAGGGTTTTTCGGAATCTATGGTTTCTGTTGAATTAGAATTTTTCTTGACATTGTTGACTTGCTAGTTTCTTGGATATTGATTTGTTAGCAGAACTAGTTTGGAAACTGTGTTCCTTGGAATAGTTTATGGTAAAGAAGACATATTGCTTGATAAACTTGTAATTGTAACACGGCCGAGTAAATGCACGATCACTTCGCATAGATGTCGTATTTCGTCCGTGAGTTTCAGTTGAACATCGTGCGAGCATGTGTGCGGTTTCAGGTGCATAGCTCTAATGTTAGGTTTTATCTAACAATCAGAATGAAAATACTCACTCTGGTAAATAACAGGAGATTTGTAAGGTTAGAGTGAAATCGAAGTCTGATGTTAACGTTGTATGTAGCACTCGAGTCTCTTTCCGTGTGATGAAAATATTTGTTATGTATTGGGAGATTAGTAAGGTTATAAAATGATAAAGAAGCTTGACATGTTCCACATTGAAGCAAAACTGTTTTTCCTTTGAGATTGGAATCATACACCATATTTCAAGTAGCATTTTTTTTTTTTTTTTCTTAACAAAAAACATCTTTTTTGCCTCCCTTCTAGGAGTAAATGCCTGGAAACGGGTATGAACCGTGATTGAAGTTTCGTAGTAGACTTGTTTGCCTAATCTTTAGATTTTCTATAACAGGAATATTCCCTGCTTGTGAACAGTGTATTTCTTAGTTTATTGGGTTGTGCCGAAGCTTTTCGTAGAAGAATGTTGCTCGAATAGTTAAGAACTTTCTTTGACAATGATCTTATCCTTTTTTTTTTTTTTCTTCCTGTTATAACGATAATTTGCCTCTGTTTTCCTTGTCTGTTGGGTTGGTACTTGGTATCATATCATACATATTCTATACATGCTCCTTTTGTGCTCGTAAAATGTAAGCTGCAAGCAATCTTATCCTTTCAACTTTGTTATTATAATTTTCAGATGGATGAGGTGCTAGCTTCAGTAGCCGAGACCATAAAGAACTTTGGCGTAATATACCTTGTGGACATAACAGAGGTGCCCGATTTCAACACGATGTACGAACTGTACGACCCCTCGACAGTGATGTTCTTCTTCAGGAACAAGCATATAATGATTGATCTTGGCACAGGAAACAACAACAAAATCAACTGGGCCATGAAGGATAAGCAAGAATTCATCGACATTGTTGAGACCGTTTACCGTGGGGCGAGGAAGGGCCGTGGTCTTGTCATTGCTCCCAAAGATTACTCCACCAAGTACCGTTATTAAGTTGTTGCATTTAACTTCCAAAAACAAACTGATAGCACGTTTGATTTATGCCTGGCTGGTACATTTGAGAATTGTGTGTGATTATTATGTGAGGATATTATCTTGTGACAAATTGTGTGGTTCTTGTTAGATTTTTTTTTTTTTTTTCCTTCCGAGTCTTTCCATGCATTTTTATTGCACGAGTAAAAGATAATAATATTATCTAAACTATTAATCACGGATAACAATTGCAAGATTAAACATATCTCTACAGGACAAACACATTTATTTCGTAATAATTTAGTACACTCTCATCCTGCGAAAACAAATAAGGCCTAATAATATTATACGTTTTCGTCTCAATAATCCATTTTATTTTTTTATTCGTGATGCAAATTGATTATTTGTATTTTAATGCATGAAATTCGAATAAGAACTTATAATTATGTAAATATTAAATTATATTTATATTTAAAATACTTAAAATATGAAAGTATAAATATATTTTTTTATTTAATAAATTTGTATCTAAAATATTTATACATATGTATATGAGA